TTGTGTTCACCTCTGTCTCTGTGGTATGTGACTGCTGGTTTGTCTCTTGGGGGGCGTCAGGTATAGGTTCAGTGTTATTGGGCACTTCTAGAATTGTTTCAGGTCTGTTGGGTGCCATGTCAGGGGTGTGTGGTGTTTTTTCTGGTGTTGTGATAGTTGTTGCAGGGTCACTGGACGGTGTAATAAGGTCAGGTTCAAAAATAGGTGTCTTTATAGGGGCTGCTGGTGATGCTAGGGTACCATTACTGTTTTGATTTCTTTGCTGTTCAGGTTGTGTGTCACTAGTATAGTTACTATCAGGACAAGTTAGCCATTCATTAGCTCTCTCCCCCTGAATGGGTAATTTGGGGTAAAAGGGTTGTGATTCCATAAATTGAACATTCATGGTGACATAGACACGTCTAGTGGTAGGAGAATAGCACTTGTAACCTTTTTGGGAGGAAGAGTAACCTAGAAAAATACATTTAAGAGCTCGAGTATCTAATTTGCCACCATCTTCATTAAACACAAAAGCTGTGCAACCAAAAACTCTTTTAGGGAGATGGTTGAGGAGGTAGGAATTGGGATAGTTTTCTAAAAATTTATCAATTGGGGTTTGAAACTTTAGTACTTTGGAGGGCAGCTGATTGATTAAATAGGTGGCAGTGAGAACTGCATCACCCCAGTAAATATTGGGAGCATTACTCCCAATTAAAAGTGAGCGAGCAACTTCTAAGAGGTGCCTATTCTTCTGCTCAGCTATCCCATTTTGCTGTGGTGTGTATGTGCAAGAAGTTTGATGATGAATCCCTTTTTCAATAAGAAAATCTTTAAATTTTGTATTCACATACTCCTTTCCATTATCACTTCGAAAAACTTTTATAGAAACATTAAATTGAGTTTGAATAAAGGCGTGAAAGTGCTTAAACAGTGGAAAAACTTTTGATTTGTCTTTCATTAAAAAGAGCCATGTGAGGCGTGTATGGTCATCTATGAAGGTAACAAACCACTTGGCCTTGGAGTTAGTTTCAATTCTAGAGGGTCCCCAAACTATGAATGAGTGTAAAGGGAGTAGTAGGAGTATAGGGGTTCGCTGGATAGGAATTTCGTGTCTGTTTAGCAAAGTGACAGGCGTCACACTGAATTTGAGAAGGAGATATTTTATTCATGAAATTGGGAAATAGGATTTTCATATAATCAAAGCTAGGATGGCCTAAACGGTAATGCCATAACATTATTTCATCACGGGACACAGCAGCATTGTTTGGAGTCACATGAATAGCAGAAGTAGCAGTAGCTAGGGGGCTTTTATTTTTCAAGTTCCCTTCAAGGTAGTACAGCCCATTACATTCTTTAGCTTTGCTAATCAGCTTGCCCAAGACTAAATCCTGAAAGACACAATGAGGTTTATTAAAACCAACTAGGCAGTTTAATTTATCAGATATGCACTGTACTGACAGTAGGTTGCAGTGTATATCAAGCACATAAAGTACATCATGAAGAATGATATCAGTAGATAGAATTACAGTGCCAGATCCCATAACCTTTGCATATTCATTGTTTGCTACCTGCACATGGGAATGCTGTGAATATGAACTAAACACAGAAAATAGTTCTTTAAATCCAGAAACATGATTAGTAGCTCCAGAATCGACCACCCAGATATTTTTTGAATTAGTGACTGTTCTAAGTGCAATTAGAAGTTCTGTACCTGTATGAGCCAAGGAAACAGTTAGGGTATCCTCACTTAGCTTTTCATGGGAGTACTTGTCAAGGATTTTCCTCAGTATTGCAAGCTCCTCATGCTTTAGGATTTCACTTTCATTGGGGGTGTTACTAGTTAGAAGTCCTTTACCTTCTCCCTTAGGCCGTGGCTTCCAATTGGCTGGCTTGCCATGGATCTTCCAGCATGTGTCACGGGTGTGGCTATTTTTGTTGCAATGGTCACATCTTAGGGACTTCTTTCCCCTTATGTCTCCACCTTGGTTGCTTCTAGTCACCATGGCCGAGCCTTCAGTTATGGTTGATGGGGAAACCAAAGATGGATTTTGAACCAGTGCTTTCGGGCTCTCTTCATTCTTAATCATATTGAAGGCATCTTCCAGTGATGGAAGGGGCTTAATGCTCATTATTCTTCCCCTGATATCTTCAAAAGAATCGTTAAGGCCAAGAAGAAAATCATAACATCAGTCTCGGTCTATTACCTGCTTCAAGTAGACTTCATCTGTATGGCAGGACCATTTGTGTACTTCATAGAGATCTATTTGCAGCCATAGTCGCACCAGGGCACTGTAGTACTGGGTGACAGACTTCTCCCCTTGAGTGAGGCTGCGTAGCATGCGTTTGAGTTGGAAAATAGCTGCTGTATTTTCCTTAACAGAGTATGTCTGCCTTGCTAATTCCCATATTTCTCGTGCGGAACTAGCAAGTAGGTAGTTTTCGCTAATTTTAGGAAGCATGGAATGAACAAGCCATGTCATTACGGTGTTGTTTTCTGCACACCATGTTTCATACTGTGGGTCCTCGGTTTTTGGTGGCTGAGGGTTCTAAGTAAGGTATTTTTCCTTGTTTCTTCCACGCACAAACATGAGAATATTTCTGGACCACTGGAGGTAGTTGTTGCCATTGAGGCGGTGGGATATAATCAGTTGGGACAAGGAATCTGGTCCAGATCCATTTGGTGCGCCTGAACTAGTTGACCGCATCTCTTCTGACTCGATCATATTCTGGGGTGCAGTTGTTACTGAGGTGGACTCACCCTCAGCTGTAAAAGCTCTGGAATTTCGTGTCAGAGCTTCTTTGAAAGACATGAGTGGTAGCGCTCTGATACCATGAGAGTTTGTGTGCAGAAAAGCTGTATTTTATTCCACAGATTTGTGTGATACATATAGGGAGAGGAGTGATTCAGCATATCGCATGAAATCCTCCAAATTTAATAAGGAAGCAAAACAGGAAATAAATATATTCTGTAATCCCTAATTTAGCGCCTAAGGATCAGGTCTTTAACGGTTAGTAAATCAGTATACATAGCTGTAATGATTCTTGGTTTAATAGGATGATTGGGCCTCTCCCTAGGGCCCATTTCCGACACTATAGACATGGGGTTATTTTACTTAAATGTACCCAAGACTAACCTCATTGGTTATGCAGATGCTGAATTCTTGTCTGATCCACATGTCGGTAGATCATAAACAGGCTATTTGTTCACATATGGTGGTACAGCCATTTCATGGCATTCTATGAAACAAACCATATCAGCCACATCATCTAATCATGCAGAAATTCTTGCAATACATGAAGCAAGTAGAGAATGTGTATGGTTAAGATTGATAATACATCACATACGAACCACTTATGGCTTGTCTTCCAGCAAAATGATCTCGACAATTCTGTATGAAGATAATACTGCATATATTGCGCAATTAAAGGAAGGGTACATCAAAGGAGATAGAACAAAACATATTTCACCAAAATTCTTCTTCACTCATGATCTTCAAAAGGATGGTGAAATCGACATCCAACAAATCCGTTCCAATGAAAATCTGATAGATTTGTTCACCAAGTCACTTCCTTGTACAATATTTGAAAAGCTTGTTCATGATATCAGATGCCGTAGACTCAAAGATATCAACTGATATTACCAACAGGGGGAGTTAACACATGCTGTACTCTTTTTCCTTGACTATGATTTTTATCCCATTGGGTTTTTCCTCGTAAGGTTTTTAATGAGGCAACATTGAATAGCATATCAATAAATGTGTACTCTTTTTCTTCCTCTAGGTTTTTATCCCACAGGGTTTTTCCTAGTTGAAGTTTTTTTAATGAGGCACATATTTGTATAATGGACATCCAAGGGGGAGTGTTATGAATATTATGTGGATGTCCATTTATCCCTTCCTCTTCATCTTCTCTAAGTAACTTCCACTACCTCCACCATCCATTACTCCTCCACTATCCATTACTCCTCCACTATCTATTCACTCTTGTAACTCACCTCCATTCACATTCATGGGATTGATTATCCACCATTTGTCATTTAAGGACAATTGTAACCTATATGTAAGACTATGTCTATAAATAGGGCATATCATTTGTATTGTAATGCAAGTGAAGCAAGTGAAGGAATACAATATCATTCTCTCATTTTCTTGTCTACTTCTCTTCTCCAATCTACTTTCATTGTTGGTTAATTTCATAAGATTATTGCTATTGTTATTATTATTATTTTTTTGCATATTTCAAACTAAGAATATTTGGGTAATTTCACTTCAAAGTTTAGTCCCACAGAAGCCCAAAGAAAAAAATCTTAGGAAAAAAGACAACAAAATATCTAGAAAATTGCTAAAAGATAGATAAGGGTGGGTGAATTTTAAAATATCAAATCATACCTTTTGTGTTATTTTGGAATTTTTGAATCTTACAAAATGACGCAAATGCCCTTCATTTTTTTTTTCAAAGCATGTCAACTTAGCATTGTCGAGGCTTCCATGACATGTTGCCAAAGCTCCAATAACTAGTCGCAGGAGCTCTTATAACTAGTCTTATTTAGCTATTGACTACATTTGTTTTCAAAGCTCCAATTACTACTTTTGTTTAGCTCATGACTACTCTAATTTTGTTATTTTTTATTTTTATTTCAAAAATTCAAAAAATATTATGTTGGAGATCTAATAACTGTTCTTATTTAACTGTTTACCATTCTTGTAACGACATAAGAGAAGTAATCAAAACTATGAAATTAAGAATAGTCACTAGTGAAACTAGAGTAGTTAATAACTAAGCAAAAGTAATTACTCAAAGTATAGGGATAATGACATCGTATTATAATATTTTAAAATTTTAAAATAGTACAAAAAGTCTTAATTTAAAATTTTGAAATTTACCCGCATCTTTTGAATACCACCAAACTTGAGAGGCCCAAGGAAAACTGAGCCAAGCCCGAAACACTTGTTGCGGATCACTGGATCAAATTTTACGTGAGCAAACCTAGCTAGCCCTTTAACTTCTTAGAGGACGAAGAGGCAGCGGTCGGGCGACTTTCCAAATAAAACTCTCATAGACGAAGAGCTTCGAGAAGGACAAAGGAAGCACAGCGAGCTCATAAGCACGTTAACGAGAGAACACACCTCGCGGCGGCAGGTAAATATTTGATTGAAATGTATTTTGTTGCTTTCTTCTTAGACTCGAAATTCTCTCTTCATGCATTGCTCGTGCGTGAATTTCCGAAGTTGGTCCTTGCTTAATTTGTTGTCTTCTTTGATAATTGAACTGAGTAAGGTTACGAGAGTCTGTTTGTTTCAATGGAAAACATGGGTTTTAGAGGAAACATATTTTTGATAATATTTCTTTAGAGCTGATTCTCTTTCTCCCATATTTGTACTGCCTCAATCTGTTTTGCAATAACCTCAACTCGCTAGTTAATTGTATCTGAAATTTTGGTTCACAGGTTGGCTCTGCATAAATATCCTAGAAAATAAGTATTGGTGTTTGGAGTTTTTGCTGGAATATCAAACGTTAAATTTGATAACCAGTGAGAAACAGATGGATCACTTGGCAGCCGCTGAAGAGCAAATTGCTTCACAGAGATTGCAGCAGAAACTCCAGGAAGTGAATGTAGCTGCTCAAGCTCATCTAGCCCCTGTCCAAGACCATGTCAATTTTACCCTTCAGGTTCCTTTAGATCCCTTTCAGTCTTTTTCATTTGTATTTTATTGTTTTTAAACACTGGAACTTTTATCTACTTCGCAAGAATGAGAGATTTTATGGCTTGATGATTAGAAAGTAAATGGACATTAACCCCGATTGGATACCTGAAAATTCTCCCCCATCTTATTTCCTTCTTTCTGTCCTAGTTCAGATTTTTGTGCTAGTAAACACTGAATAGTGATAGAATGTCTACTTTTACGACACGCAAATAATGTTTGGGATGGAATTTTCATCTATTGGTGTCGGTGACGTGGATATTTTGTAATCGAATATATTATTTCTATACAATATGATATTACTTTTGCATGATATGGTAAGATTGGTAGGCTCCTTTCCTTAAAGTTGCTGGATTTCAGTTTGTCATGGGTGGTTGTTTCATTGATGATTGCAGAAAGCGTATTTCAGATGCGCTTATGAGTGCTTTGACAGAAGCAGGAAGCAGGAAGAAATCACCAGATGTGTCGAGAATTGCAGTATTCCTCTTTCGAATGCTCAACAGAAGTTTGATCATGAGATGGCTCAGTTTCAAGTAAGTTTTCCGCCATACAGATCTGCAATCATATTATTTCTCCTCTTTTGATTACTTAGTTATCTATTATAACTTCTCTACATTTTTGCAATATAATTTTTTCAAAAGAAAAATATTTATTTTGTCCTATACATTTGCAAGCCTTTGCAGAAAATGTAATGTTGTTGAATTATATGACGCTAATTAGTGAAAGATCAACCCGTGTAACAGAGGAAGCAATGCACTCCAGTAAATAGTAAGGATAAGAATGTCCTAATTGGAAAACACTAACAAAGAGTACAAATCCGAAAACTAATGTGATAAGGTTTTGCCATCTTAAGGGTGGTTCCTAGGTAACCTGCCACGTTTGACCTCAGTATGATCTGTCAATGACCCTCTTGTTTTGCATGTATCCTAATTTTATGACTAGTTCTGGTTGCCAATAATGTCCTTTCTTCTGCTGGTGATTCGCCTTGAAAATGCCTGTTTTTTGGGGGGGGGGGTATAGTGTGAGTCCTCCCCTCTATTATGAAAAACATTTTCCCTTGAATTGAAAAGATATTCTACAGCTAATACATTGGCAAAGATTTGTCTTTTCATCTAGTACAATGTTTTGGGGGTCAAATGTCTAAAAAGCTATGAAACATGATTGGTTTGATGATGCCAACCGGCCATCTTGAGCTTGTTTGATTCGCTTTAGATTGCATCGAAGTGAAAAGCTGACAGGAACCCGAGTTTGAGTTGAATCTAGATTGAAATGCTTGGGTTATTTGCTCTGGTAGTTTATGGTTTGTCCCTGACGATTTATGTAATTTTTAGATGGAATCAACACCTTCACTTGCTGGAACTCTTGGTAATTGATATCTTCTCTCTTTGATCTGACTAGGTGGTACTTGGGCTGATTGCAGGAAAAGTTGAATAGGTCTCTGATGGTATGCCAGGATAAGTACGAGGCAGCTAAGATGCAGAAAAAACCAGGAGCTATGAATGATATGGTTTCATGTGCTGATCAATCAATCCAGGATGGCATTAAGATGCTGCCACTTCTTGCTGACAAGTTAAAAGCTTCCCTTTCCATTAGGGACAATTCTTCGTAGATGATTTTTGACTTGGCATATTCGTAAATTAACATAGAAGATTGGAAGATAAACCTTGCCCTTTTCTGCAGCTATTTTTTGAACTGCCCATTACTTTCTATAGTTCGAATAGGAACACATTTAGAGTTCAATGACTTGCGGGAAGTATTATAGATGAAGAAGTGTAGGTTCTAATTTAGTGGGCGTGGCCTTAGATATCCTTATTTTTATTAAAGTTCATCAATGATTGGAGATTCTGATTATTCTGTGTTATCAATCAGTGACAATTTTTGAATGCAAGAGGTTGAATTACAGAGGGCAATCATGCAACATGAGTATGGTTCCTAGTTCCTATCTTTTAATTTAATTGTTGTAATAAACTCCAGCTAGATGGACCGGAGGCAACTTGAGTGATATTTGTTTGAGAATATTAATGGAGTTTGCAGGTATGATGATTTTAGTTTAGTTAAAAATGTTTATTTCATGAATAACATTCAATGGATTTATCTTTATGTTAATTATAAATTATAGATTGTGAATCCCATGTTTGCATGGACCTGAGCTGAGATGACTTAGATGAGCTATACATTTTATGGTTTACAAATAATATTTACTTCTTATAGATGACGAAAAAAATCTTACAATTTTATATTATATGTTGATACGGATATGGAAGTATATTTGGATGCCTTGATCACTTTACATGAGGTGCGCTCTGGAAAATGGGGGCTTGGGGGCATCTAAAAGAAACAACTTATGTTAACTTGTTTATATCTATAGTATTAATTATTGAATTCTCTAATTACATATAGTCATATATTTTTTTATATGAATTAATGATTAAATCTTATTAAATGCTAATAATTTAAAAATATGACAGATCACCTCGTGTGATTGGAAAACTTGATGACTGTTGTCTTATGTAATATTTCTTATAATGTCCCCATTTTGTAATTATTTTTTCTTGTTTTTTTTTATCATTAGATTCTATATAAAATTAGAGAAGCTTAATGTGAGTATGGTCCTATCTAATATCTGTTATGATGTCCCAATTTTGTAATTATTTTTTCTTTTTTTATTATTAGATTTTATATAAATTAGAGGCATTTTAATATATTATGATAATAAAATGGTGTCATCTTGCATTTTTTTTAAAGGAAAATGTTTTTGAAATTGCGTGACTTTGATTTATTTTCTTTATAAAATGATAAAATAGGTAAAACTGCATCGTTTGTAAATTATAACATATAAAAATATTTCTCATTTTATGTAGAAGCTAAGGATAAAAGAATAATTAAAAATTAAGTATTACAAAGAATATTAGGGGATGTTAAAATAACATGGCTAATGTGTTAAATAAGATTTTAAAATCTTAATAAAACTTGACAAAATAAGGGTGGAAACATGAGCCCAATAACATAACTAATGTGTCGGGTAATGTTATAAATGTGTTAAATAAGATTTCAAAGTTAAAGGCATTTTTTTATTGCTTTCCATTTGAATCAAATTTCAAAGTTAAAGGCATTTTTTATTGCTTTCCATTTGAATCAAAATGTATCAACTTCCTTTGGAAGACTTTTTTTTTTTTTTTAATGGAAAAACAAAACTCTTTAAGACCTTTTAACAGAAAAAACTTGGACCCATAAAAATAAAAACATTAAATTTCCTATATTTTTTCTTATATTCCTTCAAATTTGTCATTTTTTTAAAATAAGATTTGTAATAAACTCTACAAGACAATCTTCTTATTACTTTAGTTACAAATGAAAACAAGTAATTCAACAGCTCTTTGCTTCTGCACCTTTTTCCCTATTAAAATGTCGTAACCTCACTTGTGCATTTTTTTCTTCTCCTCTTTCAAATTAAACAGAATAATTTTGGCCTAGAAATATAGAGATGAACAAGTTATAAACTTACATCGGTGGTAGCTGTCGGGGGCAAAAAAAAATTTACAGCGGCGGTAATTCGCATTTCGAAGAAAGAAAAAACCTTGGCAGGTGCCCCACGAGCATTCTTCGTCGTCGTTCCTTCCAGTTTCAGCTCTTCACAGGTGAACAATTTCTTCCTTATCCGTTTCTTTGAACTCTTGGGGCTTGTACAACCAACACACATATTAAGCAGAGAAGAGAGAGTGAGAGAGCTTCCCAAAAATGGGATGCATAAATGATAATTTTCCCCCGCAAGCGATACGTAATGGAAATGTAAACTATTCTAACTTAGAGATGTCTTGGAGATTTTGGGCTATGAAATTTTAAAATTTGATTACTGTTATCGTTATTACCTTTGTATTTTTGTAATGAAATGATTGAAGCCGAAGAAAGGCGGGTTATGCATGTTGATAGTTGGGGGATTCACTTGGGCTGCAATATGGGTGGTACAACTTGTTTCCTCTCCTGGCTTGGAGCTTCTTGAGTTAAGTAATGAGATGACACTATGCTTTGTCATACTGGTGATTTGTGTTTACTGAAAGGCTATGCGTCCCAAGAATGGAAATGCTCATATTTCCTCGAGTTTTGAAAGGGAGTCATTATTTGAATATGCAGCATGTCCAAATTTATGGATAGGTTATTGCCCTTTTCTTACAATGATTCTTTATTATGTGTATGAATACATGTTAGATTACAGCTTAAAGAAAAGTTGTTGTCAGATTCTTAAACTTTTCAAAATTCTCATTGCATGCCACCGCGCAGGGGTTGGGTGTCCAGGGTAGAGACTGAAAGAGGCTGAACCCTTGGTCATAAGGCAAACTCTGATCAGAACCATATTGAGGTGAAAATTAAGACAATGAATACATCATCTCAAACCTTCATCTTGAATATAACTCCTCAGGTAACCCTGTTTTTATTATTATTCTTGTTGTTGTTGTTGTTGTTTTGCTTTCTTTCTTAGTCTCTATTTTCCCCTTCTGTGCAGATGACCAAATACAAGCAGGGAGTAGAGGAGTTCATTATGCCTAGCCTGAATTGTAGAAGTTTGTGCCTTTCACGCCAGCTTAAACATGATGCAGGAAAGCTTTTCAAAAGGCGCGACTGCACTTTGAGTTTTATATCTTGAATTACATAGTTGCTTAGTGCATTTGCCTTTGATTAATATAAAGGAGTAATATAATATTTTGGCACCCGTAGACTAAATGCTTGAGGCATTGCATTGCGGAAATGCCTTCTCATGATATTACCAGCATTCTTTGTTTCTCACTCACTATTATCATTATCTGGCGAACTTCTTGTATAATTTGTTCAATCAACAATGATAAAATCTTTTCTTGATTGCTTTAAATTAACTAATTGATTTAGCATCTACTGTGATTTATAATACTGCTTTAATTATTTAGACTGTCATTATGAAACATGCATTTCTTTCTACAGGAAAGATAGTAGATATTATCCTACTGTAGCTCTCCACTCAGGTTAAGTTTTTCTTTTCAGACTTTTAAGGTACCGAGCTTCTTTTTATCCCAGTCCATATTTCAAATATTGATAGCTTTTCTTGATTCAATCGTGGCAGATGCTCAAATTGCTTCTGCTTTTGAAGATTTCTATATTTCTTCTACCAATGTCAATGATGGTGGAGAGCTAAAGGTATCATATTAACTACAGTTTTGATGAAGATCATGAATTTCTCTCAATAAATAACTGTGCCTTTGAATGAGGATATGCTTTGAGAATAACAAATGGAGTTGAAAGGATAATATTCCTCTTTTTCCATACTGAATCATCAATTAGAATTAAGAAATTCCATGCTATGTTGCCAATTCTGTGATATGGTTCATTTTTTGAAGTGTTTATTGTGCACATAAGTCTTGAATATTGTGCACTCTTTATCTTCCAACTTCCCTCTTCAGATAAGCATAGAGGTATCTGGCACCAAAACTCAAAGGATCTTTGATGATGTCTTTGACAAAATGGTTGCCGCAGCCCAGCCAATTCCTGGATTTAGAAGAATAAAAGGAGGTGAGGAGTTCTGATTCATTGGGGGATCTAAATTTGAAGAATAATGTAGATTTATCAGTGCATTGGGATTGCACTGTTCTGTAGAATCGTGATAACAAATTTACATGTAATTATGTATTTGTCATGAATTGGTGATCATGTTTTTGGGTGTATCAGTCTCAATTTTTGGTGTTGAACAGAGGCTTGTGTTAGTGGCCAAAAACACACATGCTTGTGTTTGTTTCAGAGAATTGATTATCCCCTAGAGAAAAAATAACTAAAACGATGATAATAAGTCTTATCCTTGTTGATGCACTTATCTTAGATGCTAATTATAGCAAGTTTATTTTTTATTTCTGTTATAGACAGTAAGGCAAAATCACATTCAGTGTTAGAACCTCTAGCCACTTCAAGAAACTGGTGATAGCATGATATTTTTGCTAGGCACTGAAATGATGTGCTGAAAGCACAAGTCTCTTGTTCAATTATTATGATATAAAAGGTGCAAAGGCAGCCTTCTGCCATGTTTTTGTGGAGCTTGTCTTTTCACATCCTTTGGGTGGAATAATATTAGATTAAGCAAAAAAATAAAACAAAAAGTTTAATGAAGAAACTTTTTCATGAATATTGATTGTGTGTCGGCAAAAAAGATATTTTCTCAAGGCTTCATTATCACTTGAGCTATTCTTGGTGGAAAATCTATGTTGCCTTTTCTTTTATCCGTAACTTGCTGATATTTTATTTTGGTTTGATTTGATGTTTTGGCTGACAATTTCATCTCTAACATCATGGGGACAACCAGGAAAAACACCAGATGTAAGCATTTTCCTCTATCAATCTACTTAATGTATTTCCTGTCCCTTCTTAACCATACACATATATGATGCATGCTTATTTAGGGGAAACTACTTACCCACGAAGGCCTATTTGCAAAAATTGTTACATGGACCTCCTTTGGATTTAAATGAAAATGTTAAATCTCAATTAAAATTAACAAAGAGATGCCTCATGCTTTTTGACTGAGATGGAAATGGCTGACTTAGCTTAGCATTGAAATTGCAAAAGTTCCTCTCTAGATCCAAAATTAGGCTGGACGATTTCATTTTTTTGTGCAAAGTCAAAGGGTGTTTGCTACATTTTAAAGTAGAGGGTAAAAATCTTGCCCTGACTCTTTAAAGTAGTTTGCATGACATTGAAGTAAAATTTTACTGTTAGCAAAGACTATTTTTTGTTGGGTCGCATGTCGAATTGAGAACATTATGACTTTATGAGAGACATTTTTATGGTCTTTTATGGGTTGAATGTAATAGAGCTCATTTGGTTAATTAGGACCCTAGTTTAAATAGAGCTCATTTGGTTAATTAGGACCCTAGTTTAAATAGAGCTCATTTGGTTAATTAGAACCCTAGTTTAAGCCTCAGAAAGAGGATAATTTGTTCAGTTAATATGATACCTATGGACATCTTGTATATTTTGGAGTTGGTATGGAATTTTTCCCTTGGAGATGCTCCTTTCTATTATAAGGGGATTTGATGTTAACAACGGAATGTATGGAACCCCAGATATTGCCATCCTAGTAGCTCTTGGAAGGTTATCTCAAAAACACAATTTTATGCTTCATTTGCTTGATGGCGATGTATAAAGTTGAACAAAATTGTTTTCCTTTTGGGAGGGTTAAGGAATATCACTTTCTACTTTCCCCCACTTTTTTTGGCTACATCCCACTCCCCAGTTCCTGATTTTATGTCAGTTAAGGAATTATGATATGATAGTATCTGGTAAAATGATTACCCTATTGAAACTTACTGAATGATTTGCATGCTAAATTTTTTCTTTATCATGAATCTCCCAAATTCTGCCCAGTTTATCTTAGGATCAGGGGAAATAGTTTGGTAATTAGTTGCTTTTGGCCTTTGCATATTTTTCGGTCAGTTCCCAACCTGTTACCATCAAAACAATGCTTTCCCTTTTCATACCTTTTTTCATCTATCTACCTTTGGATTCATGCGGGACGAGCGTGCTTGTTTGGCATATGCATGGCGTTCTGTAAATTAGGTCTTTAGTGGAGTTTCCTTCTTGGACTTTCGAAGAGTAGAAGGCTATATATAGTTTTAATGTTCCTCGCTTCATTCTCATCTTCTGGAAGGGCTTGGAGAGATATTGTAAAGAGAGGCCGTTTATCAAGAAAGGGGAGGGGGTGAATTGAGTGTTCTAGATCTTAAAGTCAATAAATGACAGAAAAACAGAGGTAAAAACTTTTTCTTCTCTAGAGCTAGAAAAAGGGCTGAAGTAGAAGAGTAGAAACAAAAAATTTATCCTAATTCAGCCCAACCATTCGGCTTGTATTCAGCTCCAAATATTGCTTTTGAAAGTTTCCACTGTAATCAAGATTCAAAATGGGCTTTTTCTAGCCTCAATTTGAACAGATTTGAACCAACTCCAGAATACCTAGTTTCACTCTCCTTACAATAAAACCCAAATATCCACTCAAGGATCTCACTTTATTGGATAATCTCACATAGAACAAGTGAAATGAAATGTAATCTTCAATGCCACTAGAATAATGGAGAAACTGATTTGCATGAGGTTGGAACTGACCATTTGATTCAATTCACAAGTCCTTGATATAATGAAGATGGATTCATTTTCACAGGTTCTAAATCGTGTTTAACAGATACCGAAAGACATTTTATTGGAGGTGCTTGGACCTTCCAGAGTGTTCAAGGAAGTAATCAAGAAAATTATCAACGTGACCGTTGCTGAATATGTAGAAAAGGTATTTTGCCATTGTTCAATGCAATATTTCATTACTTGGTAGCCACGTTTCTTTTCAATTAAAATATTAAAATCAAGCATAGCTTGTCAGGAGCATTTCTCATTCTCTGTAAATCTTTTTGTGCAAAATGTTTTAGGAGCATTTGAAAGTTGGCAAAAATCTGAGAGTTGAACAGAGTTTTGAAGATCTCAAAACTACTTTTGATCCCGGACGAAAGTTCAGCTTTGATGCAGTAGTTCAGCTTCTACAACAGGATTGAGTTGTTTCAGCATATGTTGTCCTGGATTTTGTGGTAGATTTATTCCTTTTAGTTACGCCAGAGGTCCATGATTGAGACACGGAATCAGAAACAGGGCAAGAGATAGGGATTGCCATGTCGCTGACAAACACGGAAGCCCCTTTTAGCTGTTTCTTAACTAACGAAGCATGAAAGCGTCATGAAATTGCTGTGTATCCCCCAAGTCTAGACCTTCCTTCCACCTTGGACAAAACATGTCTTATGCTTGCATATGCAATATATTTCTGCCTTCCACTGAGCCATACCAGGTGCCAAAAGTTACTTATTGGTGAGCTTTCATTTTCGTCTTTAAGATTGACTGTACTATGATGCTACTAGCTAGTTAGGATATTAGCTTTTCTTGCCAATTCTCAAGTCTTCTAGTACTACAAAGTTGAATGAGCGCTCTTGCAAGCTTCGATTCCAGATAGTTTATTCAATGTTGTGGTACCCTGATCCCCAGTGACTATGGACATCATTTGGTGACGGAACATTGGAACTACAATGGTTTATTTGTGGCAAACAGTATTCCAGACCTGTTTAAAATTTCACCTAATGATCCCATGTGTAACTCTTGAGCTGTGATTGGTACATGAAAAGGGCAAAAGTGCACATTTGGTCTTTTAATTTTATATAAAGTTTCATTTTAGTTTGTTAGTTTATAGTGGCTTCTAAGTTCTTTAACCTCAGTACCATTAGTCTTATTAACAAAAAATGCCGATGTTCACAAATGTTTACATATTAAGTTTAATTTTTTTTAAAGATAACAATGATTAGCACAAAATCATCATTTGAGATTTAGGATTAGAGGATTGAAGAAATACTTTATAAAATTAAGAGGGGGTTTGGCAACCCTCATGAACACTTGAAAAAAGTGTTTTTCCTCATATCAAAACAAGTGTCTCTCACCTTCTTATATCAGAATCTGTAAAATCGCTTTCAAAGTTAAGCCAAGCACTCCATAAATTAAAATTTTGTATAAAGTTAAAAAGCTCAAAATGTATTTTTGCCCATAAAAAGTAAATTAGTGGAAAGAGGGAAAAAAAAAAACTGAAAGAATGTAATTTTATTGTATTTGGTAAATTGATAGATTGTAAAATGACTTTCATATATTTATATCTAAACGGGCATTCTCATTTTATTTCTCATTTTTATTTTATACCAAAGGAGCTTTAAAAAGATTTACATTAAAATTTATGGATGGATATAACCATGAAAAAGTTGTTACATATATGGTGGATTGGTCTACTGTAAGAATTTAATTTTATAGGAAAACTAACTTCTAATGTCACAAAATTTTTCCTTAAAATTTTTTATTAATTTAAAAAATTACTTAAATAGAAATTATTAATGAATATTACCAAAAAAAAAAAACCGTTTTATTCTTTGTGGTTAAATATTCATCAACATTAACAAAAAGAGTCATAATGAACACGTAAAATAGATTGATTGGTAAAAACAAAAAAACAAAAAAAATAATCTATATTTCAGATTTAAGTGGATGTGGAAGCAAGGGCAATAATATTGATTGGTTTCCACAAATAAAGTTTTATTACATTTATTAAGAAATACTAAACTTTGATCAAATTTTTAATACGTAACCCCATTTTGTATTTAGGATTCACCTATTGACAAGGACGATTAAATTGGACCACTTGAAGGTTCTGTTTACTTCCTATTTTTAAAAATTGTTTTCATTTTTCAGAATCAAAAGTATTAAAAAACTTTGTTTGAGCAGGTGTTTTGCGTCCACATATTTTTACAACCGTCCTCGTTTTTTATTTTTAAAAACAAGAAAATGAAAAGATAAGATTATTGGACCAAAAAGATACTAGTCATTGACCTTGACGTACGACTGCTCCAAACTAGCAACTTTTAAGGAACATAAAGAGAAAGAAAAATCTCTTAATTGAAATGTTAATTGACAACATAAACATTGGCTCTTCATCAGACAACGGAGATTCTAAGATATCTTTCAGAATATTCAACTCTAGGGAAATAATTTTTTACTAACGTGTCCGCAATGAGAAAATGATGATAAGTTATAAACATACTCTTTTTTTTTGTATCACATGGGAAATACATGCACACTGCCACATCAAACCTGATCTCTAGTATCACTATGGAAGCCCCAGCGCCAGCTGATATAAGGATCATTAGCAGAGACAATATTGATTCGAGTCTTATATTTAGAATAAAAGTAAATCTTTTGTCTTATTCTTATATTAAAAACCGGGGTTAGTATCAAAAAATGAATGGGACCCTTACCCAAAAGCTGTTAATGCATAATGCATGGAAGGGGCAGCAGAGGGACCATTTAGTTATCACTTTTGGCTTAGGAGAATCTAACATACTTGTTTAGTGTTAATGTTTGGTCCTTTCTGCCAAACTTGGGACACAAGCACATGTATAACTTCCAAAAGCCAAGTCAGGGGAGTAGCGTTGGTATCACAAATTTGTCTTTGGGCAAAACCGAATCATATTAGTTAAAAAAACTGGTGTTTATGACATATACTTCTGCGGTGAGGATAACTTTGTTCTTAGCGTATAAAACTTGTTTGAATTAATAGGATTGCGATTAAGCTCTATATAAAGAGACTAATAAGGGATTAGTTTGTATAAAAACACACAAACAAAAGTGGAGATGGAAAACCAATGTGAAGATCATCATTCAGAGCAATCCAGAAGAGGAACTACATTTTTCAAAACCCGTTTCAATGGACTCAATGCCTTATCAGGTTTCTCTGTGTGTGTGTGTGTGTGTGTGTGTGTGTATGCTGTGTTTTCCTCTGATGTTTCTCATAATTAGAAAACCATAGTTATTAGAAGAGTTTCTTTCGCTCATGGTCGTTCTTTAATGCTAACTGGCTGACATGAGCAGTAAGAAATATTCTATGAAAGAATTGACAGAACCTTACCAACAAAAGAAGCCTTTGAATCATCATACTCCTCCGGTCCTTAATATATGATCCAATTATTGAGTTAGTTTTGGTCCTAAATATAAGATCCATCTATCATATTTATCAATTTTTCTAAATTACCCTTATGAATACCCTCTCAACCATAATCAAGTAGAAAAGGAAGAGGGAGTATTAAGAAAGATGATTATGGTATTTTAGGAAAAAAAAACGTGTCACATTTCTTATAATTAACTAACTTACTTAACTTTCTTAATATAATCAAATTGGTTAAATGAGTCTTATGTTAAGGATCGGAGGAGTATTAAAGTTTAAAATACTCAGGGGTTTGCTTTAGTTCTAATTGTATAACACCAATATACTTTGTCTTTCAAATTTATAATTTTTTGTGTAAACTCTCATATTGCTCATATTAAGGGGTTTTTCATTGAAAGTAGTATTATACGCAAATGATTAAAAGGAATATTTTAGAAAAACCAATATATAATTTTTAAATTTAACTTTCTTTTTTTTAAAAGAAACAGTTATCTAACTCATGTATTTAATATCAAAGAAAATATAAGCTATATTGCCAATCATTTGCCTTATAGTTCTGATTGAAAAAATGTGGCCATCAAAAGTTTAGAACTGCCAAAAACGTTTTGACCCTTTTGTTAACTTGTAAAAGTTAGGGTGTTTAATGATACGGTGTTCAAAAGATGAAGTTATTCCTGAGATTACAAAAAAGGCTAAGTTTGAATAATTTTAGGTATTGGAATACTTTCGATGCCCTATGCAGTTTCTCAAGGAGGATGGTTTAGTTTAATTCTGCTACTTCTGGTTGCAATGCTTTGTTGGTACACAGGACTGCTTCGACACAGATGTATGGATGGACGCCCCCTCATCAAATCCTACCCAGACATAGCTGAAGAAGCTTTTGGGTACAAAGGAAGAGCCATAGTATCCACACTGATCTACCTAGAACTGTTTCTGGTAGCCACAGGACTTATAATACTAGAAGGTGATAGCTTGGAGAAGTTATTCCCAAACATGAGCTTCAGAGCCTGTGGCCTCAAAATTTCAGGGAAACAAGGCTTTGTGCTGCTCACAACCCTAGTAATATTGCCAACCACATGGCTAAGAGACTTAGGTGTTTTGGCCTATGTTTCTGTTGGTGGGGTTCTTACTTCAATTGTTTTGGTTGCTTGTGTTGTGTGGGTGGGAGCTTTCGATGGCGTGGGGTTTCATAAAAGAGGAAAAATGGTAAATTGGGGAGGACTTGCTACTTCTACAAGTCTCTTTACATTTTCCTATTGTGGCCACTCCGTGTTTCCAACCATTCGCAGGTCCATGAAAGATACAAGACGATTTTCCAAGGTATTTCTTCCGTCTCTTGTTATAAGATTTACATAACCAATTTTGTTTTAAAAAACTGTTAAAATTAGTTAAAATGGTAATAAATATACTTTTTCTCTCAAATATGACCTTATTTATAAATGGGAAAACTGTAAATGAGGTAAATTAATAATGAGAAAAATAATGTATGGGAAAATTAATTAGAATCAAAATTGGTAAAAATATATTTAATAGTAAAATGATCCCAAAGCGAATTTTATGACAAGGGTGAAGGGATTCAAAAATTTTAATATTATAAAAAGAGATGAAGGGATTAATTAACATGATTCCGTTGCAGTTGCTGCTTATTCGCCAAGCAAAATTTCCACTCCTTCTAGTTCTAAATGTCGGAGTTAATCTACGAATATTACAAAATAAGTTGAATTAGGTATTTTGTGAGTAAATATGTATTGGTTTCCCTAAGACACCCCTTATAATCATTTGCAAAGAAATTAAAGCCACCCCCACATGGAAACCATTCTTTAGTATAAGTAATCAATAAGGATAGTTTGCAAACAAAAATTAAAAATTCGAGAGACAAAATAGATTGGAATCTTACGTTTAAGACCAAAACAAATTAAATCTCTCAATTAGTTCTTATTTAAGACTAGAGGAGCACCATATAATGAACCAATTAAACCAAAACTAGAAAGTGGCTAGTCGTTTTAATTTATTATTGATAAAACTAGACTTAGATTCAATATATTTGAGATTTTGACATCAGTTTCCTAATTAAGCACTAACATGGCATGCGCGGGAAGTATTTTCTTTTAAAACACGTAAAGTGATATAAAAGAAATTCCTCTTATACTTCTTTAATGAACAATATGTCACATGAATATATAACAAGTATGTATATTTTTAATGTAGAACATGGCAATATATCCAGATTGATTACATTCAAAATTTTGTTTCTGTTCAAAAATTAATAAAAGAACTAGTTCAGAATTGTTCGGCCCTGCAACAATTGGCAGCAAGAACAAGCATGAAGTTTATGAGATCAGAAAATAAAAAATTTTAACTTATTTCTCTCATTAGTTTCAATAATTAAGTTCTCATTTTTACATTGCTTAATAATTGCAGGTTTTACTTGTCTGCTTTATCATAAGCACCATAACCTATGGACTTATGGCCATAATAGGCTATGTGATGTTAGGAGACTTTTCAAAGTCTCAAGTGACCTTAAATCTTCCAAAAAGAGAATTAAGCACCAAAATAGCAATATATACTACACTAATTAACCCCATCACTAAGTATGCAATTACAGTCACTCCAATTGCTAATGCTATTGAGAGCATAAGCATTGTTATTGTTGCACTGTTCATTCCTTTTTTTAGATACCTCATGACTTTTACTGGTGCTTTATTAGGTGTAAGTGGTTCATTGATGCTACCTTGCTTGTGTTACCTTAAGATCAATAAAGCTACTCAAAGGTTTGGGTTTGAGTTGGTGATCATTATTGGGATTCTACTAATAGGGCCATTCATTGTTGTGGTTGGTACCTACAACTCTATGAGACAAATAGTGGCCCATCTATGAAGCCACATGAAATTTTTTCTTGAAGTTTCTAGAGAATTGATTGAATCACTATTAGAGGTAGGACTTTCTACATCAGCCAACTGGGGAGACCTTTTCGTGTAAATTAATGGGGTGGTATATAAGAAAAGTTAAGGTGCAAATCTATTCATGGAGTATTCCATTATGGGTACCTGACACTATAAACTTTTCTTGAATGTAAAAATAAATTATGTAAAAATGTCATATCCGTTGAGTAAACAAATGCTGATTGTTTAGCTATTAATCAAGAAAATAATGAAAAAATACATTAAAAAAATTTGAAAATGATATAAAAATGTCACGATCATTAAATTAACAGTTATTATAGCGGTGGCTGAAGGCAGCTATTGGTGATGGTTGATTGCAAAGTTTGCAACAACAAAAGGATGGGACGGAGGAGGTGATGGACTGATGAGTCATCATGATGAATGAGTGGTGATTGATGGTAGAAAACATGTGTTCAACAAGATTGTTTGAAATAAATTTTTTCAACACTAATTTGGCTCAACAGAGGGAGGAAAGCAGAGCTAATGAAAAATCAACCATTTATTTTTATAAATTTATATAAATTTTCTCTCATTTTTATTTTATTAGTATATAAATGTATAATGTAATTTATTGATTTTAAATTGCCATGGTAAAAAATTACTTTTGATCTCTTATTTGAACATATTCTTAACCAACAGCGGGCCTATTATTCAAAAGAATGTCACTCGAGAGTTTGAGAGCATCGAAGCTAAATAATTTAACTCACTAAACAGCATTAAGCAATCAATGTGAATTACTTGCACAACCAACGAATAAAAAATCTAATTAGAAAATTATGAATGTTGCTCAGTGCAATCCCATGGCAGAAAGAGACAAACAGCCTGTACTTGCTTTGACTTTCGTCCCCTTGTAAAATTTAGCTCATCATATGCTACGAACCCAAAGAAGAATGGATCATATTCGTAAGAATGTAAAGAATTCAATATATTAAACTTATAATCATATTACCTTCAGTCCTAAATATAATACGTAGTCTTACATTTAAAATCAGAGATAGTAATTATTATACTATTGAACATTCTCCACACTTATCTTTTATACATGTTTTTCCTAGCTAGCTATGTTATCCTCAGCCTTTAGTGTTAACATATATTTTCCTTTCATAATTGCATAATGACAAATATACCAAAACACAACAAACTACTCTCTATTTAATAATTATAAAAGAAAATTTTTGGGTATCATTTGTTTTTATTTATAACTCTGCTTATATTGTATAGCCGGTCCCAAACCCGGATAAAGGAGGAGGGTTGTGTTAGACCCTCGACAGCCAATGTAAAAACTCGTCAAATCTCATGAACATGGATCAACGAAGTAATTACGTCAATGCTAGGTCATCGCCCAGAAGTGACGCGTTGTATGGCTCGAGTACAATGAGAAATGAGCTAGAGCCGTTGTATCGTCGCCTGGATGTAGTGTTAAATGAGCGAGGGCTACCGCATTCTTTTGGACGGAGGCAGCTAAAGAAGTTAGTTCATGAGACTGAGACTAGATTTGGCACTTGGAATATTGGGACGCTGAATGAGAAATCTATGGAAGTAGCAGGAGTTATGAGGGACAGAAGGATTAATATCTTGTGCCTCCAAGAAACCAAATGGACTAGAGAAGCTGCCAAGGAACTTGGAGAGTATAAACTTTGGTATATAGGAAAGGTGAGTGCAAGGAATGGAGTTGGTATCATCGTTGATGGAACATGAAAAAGAAACGTGGTAGAGGTTAAAAGGTTTGAGGACAGAATAATATCATTAAGAGTAATTGTTGGAAAAGATACTATCAATATCATTAGTGCCTATGCACCTCAGGTTGGGGCAGAGACACACCTTAAAGATAAGTTCTGGGAAGATATGGAGGGGTTGGTTCAAAGCATACCACTCGAAGAAAAAAATTTTATCGGTGGGGACCTTAATAGACATGTCGGTAAGAAAGCAAGACAATTCAGCGGGGCCCATGGTGGTTTTGGTTTTGGGGAGCTTAATAGTGGAGGACAATCTATTCTCGACTTTTCTCTTGCATATAATCTTAAGATTGTCAACACTTGTTTTAGGAAGTAAGAGGAGCATTTAATCACGTACAAAAGTAGTGTCTCAAAATCACAGATTGATTTCTTTTTGGTTAAGAATCCAAACAGAAGATTGTGTACTAATTGCAAAGTGATTCCAGGAGATGGGATGACTGCCCAACATAGAGTACTTATTCTTGATGTACGTTTTAAGAGTACCAGGCAAAAGTACCATCAAGTGGTAAAACCCAGGGTTAGGTGGTGGCAGTTAAAGGGTGAGAAACGAGAGTTATTCAAAAGGACCCTTGTGGAGGAAGGGATTTGGGAGTCGCAGGGAAATGCAAACATGATGTGGGAAGAGATAGCTACTAGGGTTCGTTTGGTAGGTAAAGAAATTTTGGGAGAATCCAAAGGTCCTGGTCAAAGAGATAAGGAGACTTGGTGGTAGGATAAGAGTGTGCAAGAGAAAGTCAAATAGAAAAGAGATTGTTTTAAGGCCATACACTCGTGCAATAGTGTAGAAACCTGGGAAAAGTATCAGTTGGCTAAAAAAGAGACGAAGAAAGCAGTGAGCGAAGCACGTACTAAAGCTTATGAAGGGTTTTATCAGGAGTTAGGAACAAAGACGGGAGAAAGAAATATTTACAAGATTGTGAAGCAAAAGGAGAGGAAAAGGAGAGATTTGGACCAAGTAAAGTGTATAAAGGATGAAGATGGTAAAGTGTTAGTTACTGATGGTGATATTAAGGACAGATGGGAGGCTTATTTTTACAAGTTGTTTAATAAGGGAAGCAATCATGCGAATCAGGACTTACAGGACTTACTAATTAACAAAGATGATCAGAATTTGGCTTTCTACCGCAGGATCCGTATCGGAGAGGTTAAGGCAGCTCTCAAGAAAATGGACAATGGAAAAGCCGTTGGGCCTGATGGTATCCCTATTGAAGTTTGGAAATGTCTGGAAGATGAGGGTGAGGTGTGGCTAACCAAGCTTTTTAATGAAATTTTACACTCTAAGAATATGCCGGATGAGTGGAGGAGAAGCATTTTAGTTCTTATTTACAAGAATAAAAGAGACATTCAAAACTGTGCAAGCTACAAAGTGATAAAACTTATGATTCATACAATGAAGTTGTGGGAAAAAGTGATGGAATATAGGTTGAGGCTGGAGACTTCTATTTCAGAAAACCAATTTGGATTTATGCCAGGGAGATCCACTTCGGAAGCAATCTATTTACTAAGAGGGTTAATGGAAAGATATAGATGTAAAAGAAGGGATTTACATATGGTCTTTATTGACCTGGAAAAGGCTTACGATCGTGTGCCAAGAGAAGTAATGTGGAAGGCTTTGGACAAAAAAAGATGTACGGGTTGCTTATATCAAAGTCATACAAGATATGTATGAGGGGATAACTACCAGTGTAAGGACGCCTGGAGGTGAGACAAAGGACTTCCCTATTCAGATTAGCCTACATCAGGGATCTTCTTTGAGTCCGTACTTGTTCAACATTGTTCTGAATGTTCTAACTGAACCTATTCAAGAAAGAATCCCTAAGTCCATGCTTTTCGCAGATGATATAGTTCTCATGGCGGAATCAAAAGAAGAGATTAACACTAGATTGGAGTTATGGAGAAGGACGTTGGAGTCGAAAGGTTTCCGCTTGAGCAAGAACAAAACAGAATATATGCATTGTGATTTTGGGGGAAGGCAAGGCAATGGGGATTTGGAGGTGAAGATGGGGGAGCAAATCATTCCTCAAGTATCAAAGTTTAAATACCTAGGATGCATTATACAGGAGGATGGGGAAATTGATGGAGACGTTTCTCATAGAATACAAACTGGCTGGTTAAAGTGGAGGAAAGCTACCGGAGTTATTTGCGATAAGAAGGTACCTGAAAAACTTAAAGGAAAATTTTATCGAACTGCTATAAGACTGGCTATGTTGTATGGTAGTGAATGTTGGGCAATAAAGGGAAAACAAGAGCACAAAGTTGGGGTAGCAGAAATGAGGATGTTGAGATGGATGTGTGGTCATACAAGAAAAGATAGGATTCGAAATGAAAATATCAGAGCAAGAGTCGGTGTGGCACCTATCCAAGAGAAAATGGTTGAAAATCGCTTAAGATGGTTTGGACATGTGCAGAGAATGTCATTGGAGGCCCCAGTGAGGAGGGTGGATTAGACAAGATGGAGTCCCATAAAAAGAAACAAAGGAGGACCAAGAAGAACGCTTAATGAGGTCATTGAACGAGACCTCCTAGTCAACAACATATCTAAGGACTAGGTTGTTGACAGAGCACAATGGCGTCGTGTGATTCATGTAGCCGACCCCACCTAGTGGGATAAGGCTTGTTGTTGTTGTATTTGTTTTTATTTATAGAAGACACTTTGGGACTGTCTTCAATCTTTTTTTCGGTTAATTTTCCATTTCGCCCCCATTTACTTAGTCAAATCAATAACATTTCTTTTATAAGTAAATTATTTAGATGGTAAATTCTCGCTCTTACATTCTCTCTCAATGATATTTAAAAAAAAAAAAGTTATAGTTTTATATATTTGTTGTCTTCAACTAAGTTGAATAAACTTTTTAATCGTCGTAATTTAATTAGTTATCTCTTATTAAAAAAACGTTAGGGGTGTTATATAAGTTGAATAGGCATAAAAATTGGGAGCTATTAGCTCTATGAAAAGACCATATTGTTATTAGTGAAAATGACATAAAAATGACATATAAACTTGGAAATCCCCAAATCATCACTTTTTTTTTTGACCAGGCCAAATCATCACTTGAATAAGGCAAATCTCATTTTCATCATTTCAGACCAAATTGGGATTTTCAAGTTAAATGGATGACCAAATTGCCCTTATCAATTACAAAACATGAGTACAAAACATGGGTGCCATATTCACTTGCATCATATGAAGCCTGGTAGGAAGGAAAAAACAGAGAACATGCATAATGCTGGATCAAAAGGTAAGGAGAAGGTGCTGGTTCAAAAGTATAAGTATTTTTTTTGAAATCATATAACTCATTTCATCCTCCTAGCATCAATATGATGTTTTATTTTTTCATTTTGATGGTTTTGGGTTTTGGGTAATCAAAGATTTAGATGAAGCTAAAGTGCGACAGTATGGAAGTCAAAGGTTCTTCAAATTGGGTGTTGGTTCTTCCTCTTTTAGGTGTGAGAATGGTTAGAAATTTGAACATATGGCTTAGTTAGTATGGGACAGGGTTTCGATTCTGGGCAAGTTTGGAAAATGTTGAAGAAGCTTGGTGATGATTCTGTAGATAGGACGTTTGAATATGAATAGTAACAATTCGTAAACTATGTGGTTAATAGCAAAAGTGTGGTTGTAAAATGCTATATTGAAGTTGTTAATGTCGGAAGTGACTATATTGGGTTGATTTTGAAAATTGATGAAATATTTTTGTTAGACAACTGACATTGTGATGAATTTTTCTTCTTCTTTGTTACAGGCTAGAATGTAAAAAGACATGTAATATTGGGTCAACATCCTCAAAGGAACTTTTTAAGAATGTTAAAGGGAAAGTTAAATATAATGGTTAGAATGTGAGACCGAAATTGATAAAAGAGGAGGTAAGACTTGAAGATCTAAGGTCAATGATATTGGAATAGTTTGAAATTGATGTAATGGTTGTGGCTTGAAGGCTTGTCATTGATTGTATATTCTGTAAATACTGTCAGTGAGGCTTTGGTTTGTGAAATATGCCATTAATGAACTTGTTATTTGCTTTAAATATATTGTTAATTACTGCAGAAGTTGCAATGCAAAAGTGCCCTACTTATTCACTATAAAAGTTTTGGTAATATTGATTATTTAGAAATCAATTGAATGTGTGTTTTGTGCTGATACAATAACATCTGACTACTTTTTTTGATCTCATGAGATTATTTTTCAACTTTTATAATGAAATTAACAAGTGCGGTAATGTTATTAACAACTTCAGTGACAACATTAACAACAACTTTTCTAGGCACAAGTTTCAAATTGGGAATTTTTCAACTTTTGTAATGAGTTTACAAGAGTTGTTAATAGTTATACTGAAATTGTTAATAGTGTCACTAAAGTTGTAAAATTGGCTATTTTTGCATTTTCTCTAATTCCAGTTGTTAAAGGCGATATTGAAATTGTTAACAGAGATAATGAACTTGTTAACCGCTATACAAAAGTTGTAAAATTTCCCAATCATAATTATACAACCTATCTCTCTCAGTTCTAACAACTTTGATATGAGATGGTTAATAGCTATACATGAGTTGTTAATAATTATATTTAAGTTGTTAACAATACCACTGAAGTTGTAAAATTGGCCATTTTTGCATTTTCTTGAATTCCTGTTGTTAAAGGCGATACTGAAATTGTTAATAGAGATAATGAACTTGTTAACCGCTATACAAAAGTTGTAAAATTTTCCATTCATGATTATACAACCTATCTCTCCCAATTATAACAAGTTCTGATATGAAGTGCTTAATGACTATACATGAGTTATTAATAATTATAATGAAGTTGTTAACAACGTCACTAAAGTTGTAAAAGTGACCATTTTTGCATATCCTCAAATTCTTGTTGTTAAAGGCGATACTTAAATTCTTAACAAAGATAATAAACTTATTAACCGCTATACATGAGTTGTTTATAGTTATATTGAAGTTGTTAACAGCGTCACTGAAGTTGTAAAATTAGCATTTTTGCATTTCCTCAAATTCCTGTTGTTCAAGGTGATAATAAAGTTGTTAATAGAGATAATGAACTTGTTAACCGCTATACGAGAGTTGTAAAATTTCCTATTCATGATTATATAGCCTTTCTCTGAAGTTCTAACAAACTCTAATATGAAGCAGTTAGTGGCTATACAGGAGTTGTTAATAGTTATATTGAAATTGTTAATAACGTCACCGAAGTTGTAAAAATGACCATTTTTGCATTTTTGTAAATTCCTATTGTTAAAGGTGATACTGAAGTTGTTAACAGAGATAATGAACTTGTTAACCATTATATGACAATTGTTAATAGAATAATGAACATTAACAAAACTTTTATAGGGTACTTTTGCATTACAACTTCCACAGTAATTAACAACATATTTAAAGCAAATAACAAGTTCAGTAATGGCATTTTTCACATACCAGAGCCTCACTGACAACATTTACAGAATATACAATCAATGACAACCTTTCATGCCACAACCATTACATCAATTTCAAACTATTCCAATATCATTGACCTCAAATCTTCAAGTCTTATCTCCTCTTTTATCATTTTCACTCTCACATTTCAACCATTATATGTAATTTCCCCTTCAACATTCCTAAAAAGTTTCTTTGAGGATATTGACCCAGTATTACACGTCTTTTTGCATTCTAGCCTACAACAAAGAAGGAAAAAAATTCATCACAATATCAGTTCTCTAACAAATTAAGATATTTCATCAATTTTCAAAATCAACCCAACATAGTCACTTTCTGCATTAACAACTTCAATATAGCGTTTTACAACTATACTTTCGCTATTAACCACACAGTTCACAAATTACTACTGTTCATATTCAGACTTCCCATCTACAGAATTATCACTGAGCTTCTTCAAAATTTTCCAAACTTGCCCAGAACCTAAACCCTGTCTAACACTAACTAAGTCATATGTTCAAATTTCTAACCATTCTCACACCTAAAAAATAAAATAGAAAAGAACCAACACCCAATTTGAAGAACTTCGACTTCCGTAATGTCGCACTTCAGCTCCATCTAAATCTTCGATTATCTAGAACTCAAAACCATCAAATGAAAAAATAGAACACCACAGTAATGCTAGGAGGATGAAAAGAGTTATATGATTTCAAAAAAATACTTACACTTTCGAACCAGCATCTTATCCTCACCTTTGATCCAGCATTGGGCACTGCTCTGTTTTTTTCCTTCCCTACTAGACTTCATCTAATGCAAGTGAATGTGGTGCCCTTGCTTTGTAATTGATAAGGGAAGTTTGGTCATTCTATTTAACTTGAAAATCCTAATTTGGTCTGAAGTGATGAAAATGGGATTTGCCTTGTTCAAGTGATGATTTGGGGATTTCTAAGTTTATATGTCATTTTTATGTCATTTTCCCTTGTTATTATTAGCATGCGAGGGTTTCAAGACAGATTGCTTTTAATGCATTCAAAGGGTTAGTACAAATGTCAATAGTTTTATAATCTAATAACATATAAACTCTCCTTACAAATAAGAGGCCGTGGGTGCAATATTGTTTATAAGTTTAGATTATTAATACCTACCCTTCTAATTAAAGAAATAGAGTCAGTACAAGTAATAAACAAGAATACATCTCTCTAATAACGTTCTTTTGGTGGGTATACTCGCTTTGAATTACTCCTCCGGTCTTTCTTGTAAGACATAATTAACTAACTTAAGTAATTTAAAGATATTGATTAAATTAAAAAAAATATGATAATTTTTTTAAAACATCTTAAACATCTTCCTTAATTTTCTCCTCTTTTTACTTCATTATTGTTGAAGGAATATTAATAATATTAATTTAGAAAAAAATTAATAAGTGAAATAAGTCTTATATATACAACTAACAAAATTTATCCTCAATTTTGTCTAAAAAATTTTATTTTCCATATCCTCTTTATTAATAGAACCTCTTACAGAGAAGTTAAAAAATGTTGAGAAAAAAAAACCCTTAAAAATATAAAATAGCGAAATGTGTACTTGAATAATAAGTCAAATTTCTGTCAGATCTTAAATATAAATTATGAAATATCAGGAAAGAGACCAAAATGACTTTTTTCTTTTTTTTTCCATCACCTTATCTCCTCTTTCCCGCTGCAATCCAATCCAAAAGTTCTCTCTTCCCCCTTTCCTTCTCTTTCTTCCACCACCTTATGTCCTCCGTTCTGATGAGCTCGAGGCTGTGCTGGGTGCGTGAGTTAGTGGGGATTTGGTTTGGGGTGTATGGTGGAGTGATTTTTTTGACTAAGGAGAGTGATTTTTGAACGGGGAAGATTGATGGGAAGGGTGGCGCTCGATCGTGGTTGGAGTTATGGGGTCTGTCGATAAGGAAGGAGGTTCAATCAGAGAAGGTCAAATGGGGTTTTGATCACAAGATTGGGCATGCTCGATCTGCAACCACAAAGACAATGATGAGCGATAATTTTTTAGCGGCGATGGGGAAAGAATCAAAGAGGAGGAGCTCAGCGACCACTGCGAAGATGGTGTTTCTCTGTCTTTTTTTTTTTGGCTGAACTATTTAGTTTTGATTTTCCTGGTTATCATGGTTTGATTTCTCTTTGTACTGAATTTGGATTTTATTGAATGAATGCTTATGCTTTAGGGGGGAAAAAACCATTTTCAAGTAACATTCTTCTTCAAAATTTCATTTGATCTTTTCGAGGTTGTTCATTTTGCTGCTTTCTCCCCCTCACATTACAGGATCTCTTCTTTTTCCTTATTTTCTCATTTTGGTTCTTGTTAATTTGGATTGGTAGATACTGACAGAATAAGAGGGAGATTAGTTTTGATGTCATTTTGGTTCTCCTTATAACTTTGTGCCCACCGTGTGGATGCTCCAAATTGAACCTCAATCTTCACAACAATTTTTTTTCCGACACTGTCATTATATATGTAAAAAGTATCTGGGTTGGGAGCCTTTCAATTTTAATTTGTCATCTTCTTTCATTGGTTGCATGGTTAACTGTGGCAAAAGAAAACCAACACGACCTTATGAAAGGAATCGTCATGTTGGTCGATGTTATTAGGAGGTAATTGTGAAACTCAGCCATGCATAATGGTATATCACATACAATCTCCGATCAGAAAGTTCTCTAGAACTTTAGGGGCATCTTTTATTACATTCACTTGTTCTGTTTAATTTGTTCTTGAAGCTCAACAGCTTTGATTATGGGGGAACACCATGACTCTTCTTTGGTGAATTCTAATCCCTTCCAATGGCTGGATAATTCGAATGAGAGAAAGGTTAATTAATAAAAGAAGGGAAAAAGAGGAAGTTTGGAGGATGTTATTCAATAAGTTCAAAACCATGCTTCAACCTTCCAATGGAACAATAAAATGTTTTCTATTAATCTGTCATTGTTGATTTTCCGGAAAAAAAAGAGGAATTATTTAATTGTATTTAAATAAGGGAGAATCCCAATTAAATTTCGTTATATCAAAATTCAAATTAAGGTCTCTACTTTTAACAAATCTCTAATTAGGTTAAGAGGCCTTATTAGAGATTTTTTTTAATGTTATTAAAAGACTAAAATGCCATTGGTAATTGCTCTAATCAACTTATGACTTTTTTTTTTCTTGAGATACCGTTAGATGATCTATTAGTTTTATGCGTTCTTGCTTCATATGTTGTTAAAAGATTAAATGTATGATTTTCTTGATAAATTTATATTAAGTAGTTCATATTACTTCATCAATCTATCAAATGCTAGAAAAATTATTTAGATTTCCAATACAAAGTTCATATTAATTATTAGTATAAATTTTAGTAATGAGATTATAAGATATAGCATGATGAGAATATCTATATAGCAAATAGAGCAAAACATTTAAGAAAGAAATGACAAATTTGATGCTGAAATCTACTAATACATTAAGATTCTGATTTTTAACTATAAGAAAAAAAAAATTTCCTTCAAAAAATTATTAAAATAATAGGGTTAGAATTAGGTAATTAAAAAGTCTTTATTCCCATTAAAAAAAAAGTCCATGTTCCCATAAATTTCTTACTAAAATATTAGAGTTAGTATAAAATATTATATTATGTAATTTCCAAATTTTCTTATGCAAAACATTTTTTATAAATAAATACTATATCATGTCAAGTTTTCATGGTTTAATTTTTTGTTTTTAAAATGATATTATTTTAAATTATAAGGGGTATTTTAGTATTTTAATAATATTTAAAAATCCCTAATAAGATCTTTTGGCCTAATTAGGAATTTGTCAAAAGTGCAGGTCTTAATTTAAATTTTAATATTTTAAGTGGATTTAATTAGGATTCTCCCTTTAAACAATATATGTCATTATATTATTTAAATTACAAGTGTAGTTAGTGAAATAACAAGTATGGATATAAAAATAATAACTCTAGTAAGTGAGATAATAAGTATGCGTGTAAAAATTACAAGTCTAGTAAGTAAAATTACAAGTTTGGATAGTATATGAAATAATAACTCTGGATATAAAAATTACAAATGTCGTATATAAAATAACAACTCTAGATATAAAAATTATAAGTGTAGCATATGAAATAACAATTCTGGATATAGAAATTGCAAGTGTCATGAAAATTATAAGTGTAATATGTTAAATAAGAAGTTTGGATATAAAAATTACAAGTACAATAAAATTACAAGTTTAGTAAGTAAAACAACAAGTATGGATATGAAAATTACAAGTACAGTATATCAAATAACAAGTTTGCATATAGAAGTTATAAGTCTAGTAAGTAAAATAATAAATTTGAATATAAAAATTATAAATATAGTAAATGAAATAACATGTCTGGATATAAAAATTACCAATTTATTTAGTACTCATCCGGTCCTTATTATAGGACCCAATTTGACTTTTTATTTGGTCCTAATTATAAGACCCAATCCATTTTCTCTCTTATATTTATGCATTTTTTCCAAGATAATCCTTCTAATAATGATAGTTTTAGCCAATATACTTAATTAGCAAGGATATTTTATGAATAACAACACTTATTTATTATAAATAACCAACTTAACTTACTTCCTTAATCTCCTCAAAAAAGTCAATTGGGTCTTATAATTAGGACCGGAGGAGTATAATAAAAGGTCTATATATAAAAATTACAAATTTACTTAGTAAAATAACAAGTTCGTAAAAGTGTTTATAAACACTTAAAATAAGCAAATGCAAACAAGTTTTGAGCGTGTTACCGCAACCAAAAACAAAAAAAAGGTTATGACCGGGGTAAAAAAATTTTTTTAAAAAAATTGCCGATCATATGCTGGAAGCAGAAAGCTGTTTTCAAGTTAATATTATTAAGCAGATTTTTTTTTTTGGTTTTATTTTGAAAAACAACGTCTAAAAATTTGCTTTAAGAACCTGAATATTTTTTATTTTCATTTTTGACTTGCACGTCAAACCAGAAGCCACTCCCATATCAGCCAGCATACCGTATTCGCCAAACATCCACATTCCACCAGTCTCCACCGGGCTTTTCCAAAACCCCGTTGTCGAACCTTTCTTGACTTTCCGCCTCTCAGTAGTTCGATCCATCCGGCGACGGCATTTCCGATAACTCTGTGACTTTCCACTATGGTAACTGTTCTGTCTCTTCTCTCTATCGATCTTCTGGGAATTTCATTTTTATATTTTCTTCTCCCTAGTTTCTCAGATTCGTTTCTGTGATTTGCTGCAAATTGCATGTTCCCATTTTTCTTCTGTAAAAACTCATTAGTTTTGGATCAATTTATCGATTGTTCTTTTAAATTGATTGATTCTCATTTCCAATGTGTTTGTGAATTTTGGAATTACGTCAGGAAACTGCTCTTTTTAGTTTTCAGTTCAGGATTCTTTCAGGAAAATCGCCTTGTTATTCTCATGTTCTTTCCTTTTTTATTCATTTTTATTTTTTAATGGTGTAGTCTAATGCTCTGGACTAAATATCAAGAAATATTCAGAATGTTCTAAACATGTTTTTGGGATATTCTAACATCAACGTTTTCTATTTTCCCAAATTTGCTAGGTTCTTCTTCAACTAGATCCGTTCCTCAATGAACTGACGAGCATGTTCGAGCGAAGCACTGAGAAGGGATCCGTTTGGGTCACTCTTAAACGATGTGTGTGTCATTGTTGTCTTCATCATGGAGTGATATTTTAAGTTTATCTATCTGGGAATTTACTTTTGTTTTGCTGTTTGTTGTGGCTTTAGCCTCCTTAAAATCTAAAGTGCAGAAGAATAAATTGTCTGCTGCTGGTGAAACAATCGAGTATAGATGTCTCATTCGCGCTACTGATGGGAAAAAGACGATTTCTACTTCTGTATGTGTCTTATCTTTTCAAACTTAATGTTTTCGGTAGTATTTGTGCGTTAACGTTTATCGTCTATTGCTTTCACTTGTGTGTTTTATTGGTTCTCACACTAGTGATAATCATAGAGGTTTAGACCATAAATCTCTGGCTGAGATTTCCTTCTAATTCAAAGCTACAGACGTATAAGGCGGTGGTACCTTAAATGAAAACCTTCTGCATTACAGTGCTATTTATGTTTAGGCTTTGTATTAGTTCTCCTTCAAGTTAGGAAAAAGGTAGAGAGAGACTGTTATGTTACTAAAACAAATCATGAGAAGTATTATCGTCGCAGATATGATCTCCTGAACGGTTATAGAGTTGGGGAAGAGGGGGAATAGAAACACTTACTTTGAGAGTTTAAAATTGTAAGAAGAAGTTGAATGGAGGGAACCATTCTCCCTCAAACCTTATTATTTTTGTTTCCTCCTAATGGGGGGAAATGCTCACTTTTATTCTTAAATTCTGAATAATGTAATGGATAATTCTATCCTTCAGAATAAATAAAGGGAATGTAATTCCTTCCCCTCCCATTCTATCTTATGGCCAATACTTATAGCTCTTGGCGAGGGAGACCAGTACACCAGAAGGAAAAATGTGAAATCGAAAAGAAGTAAAGCCATTATTTGGGTCTTGTTCTTCTGTTCCCCCTATTCATCACCTGGTAACCTAGGACGTTAGGGTCACTGGATGGGTTTATAAATCCTGACAGTCTTGATGTATCTCTAGTTAATTTGTGTTACTTTTATTAATAGGATGATGATGTTATAATTTCCGAACTGTCATTCAATTTATCTGCTTTTATAATCGCTGTTTCTTTTGTGTTATACTCTCGTGATCACTATCATGCTCATTGTGGGTGAATCCTCTTCGTTTCCCTGATGCTTGCCCATGAATGAGGCACATGAAGATGGAGTTTATCCATATATTTGTTTCATACAAAAAGATGGCCGGATTCCCCCCCCCCCCCCTCTGGGGGTGGGGTTATGGGGACTAACCTTCACAAACACTATGGAAATATAAAATCTATAGGAAGCTACATTTCCCATGAGTCATAAACGGTGTCGTTCATCTTAGACTTTGTGCAACCATAGGCTGCACAATCTAGTTATGTTGTCAAGCACAGTCTGGAATATTAATTTCAACTTGGGCTTCATTGTTCCATAGAAAAATTAAAGTTGCATAGAAATTGTCCAAAATTAATTTCCTAACAATTTTCTCTTCTTTTGTTGGAACCTTTTTCCTTTTGTTTGGATTATGTGATAAGAAATGGTAGCCAGGTGGTTAATGATGGGCACATGTGTCTATGCCGGCATGTGCTCTACCCACACATTCACTTGTATTTTTTGCCCGTGCTAATCTATACATGTGTATGTGCTTGATGTGCCTGTGCTTGCCTGTGTATGTATGCATCCGCACAAGTGTGTTTGTGTGTATATATGTGCGTTTCAATTCATACAGACATGCTTGGGTGAAAGGGACGGTAGTAAGCTGATAGTAACTAGTTGAAGAAAAAAAGTACGTAGTTTCTAAGTTCTTTTGAGGAAATTTTTTTTTTTTTTTTTTAAATTGTTAGAGAAATTAGTATCATTTGAAAAATTTTCCTAGAAAAATTTTGTTTACTGACCCCAAAAAAAAAAAAAGAAAAAAACAGCAAGACAATTTTTTCTTCAAAACAATGAGAACCTCAAAGGCAGGCATGAAAATCCAATCCAACAGCCTGGATTATCTGTTGACTCTTTTTGACTCTGCAGCTTGGTAAGTTACATGTCTTGTTAATCATTATTTGAGGTCATTTTAGTCTTGCCAATTGGTGCATGAGATTTGAGAGTGAAACCGGTGATTGTCCAAGTGTCATTAATACTCTCTAACCACTCTGGGGGTTAGATTCTTCTAACCACTTGCTTTCTCAGCAATCACCATAATTTCGTGTTTTTATAAGTTGATGTCACTTCTGATAATTCTGGTTTTTGAAATTGGAAGGTTGGACAAAAAGATCACCAGCGCTTTCAATCTTCCTATGCAACTATACTGAAGGCCCACATGACTTCTCTGAAGAAGAGAGAAAGAAAGGACAAGAAGAAGTCTGCAGAGACTGATAAAAGAGAGGGCAGTTCAAAGAAATCCAAGAAGGTTTGAATTCAGTCCATACCTACAGGGAGACTATTGTTTTCAGTTGAGGGATTTACACTAGGCCTTTGTTTTTCTTTCTTCCTTTTTTGGAATTGAAAACGAAAAGGTAGAAGAATTCTTGCAATTTTGAGCACCTTGAGGATTAAGGTATCCAACTTGTACAATTTAATACCTTTTTTAGTTGTTCCTTGAGTGGCCTTATGTGCAATATTCATGCATATACATAGCAAAATCAGATATTTTTCCATTGCATTTTGCACCCACATGAAAAAACTAGGAGCTGGTCTATATGGATTCTTTTCTTCATGAGGACGACTTCCTGGAGAAATTAAAGATAATAGTGGTCCAAAACCTTAATTTGCCTGCCGAAATTCTGAAGTTCTAATAGTTGTTTTTTCAGCCAGTTGTGTGCATATATATTACTGTGTATTGTATAAGCTCACAATAACATGGATGCAAGAAAAATTAGAACTCACTTTGGTGATGAAGTTGAGAAAAGGATTTGTTTTTTCTAGGATAGAGATTTGACTCAAACAACAGTTTGATGCACATTCTCTAGTTGTCTGGCAATCTAATCATAAGATAATGGGAAAAAAGGGGGCTAAATTGTATGATTATGGCATCACATCAACTAACTTTTCCCGCAAGTCTGTCTAAGAATTTGGGATTATAAGTTGATGTGATAATTAAGGGAGACAATGGGGAAAAATTAGAGAAAAGAAGAGAAAATTGAGGGTGAGTGGAGATGAAAAATCCTAGGAATCTTATTCGACCAGCAAAGAGTCTTCATGTAAATAGGTAAGGCAACCCTGATGTTATAAAGTATGTTCGAACTAGGTGTTCATGATGCCGAATAGCTTGGTGCGCTTGGCCAAGGCTGAGGAAAAAATGCCAGCTCAGCTTGAAAAAATGCAGCATAGATAAAAATAAGTATTTTTAGGCTGGGCTTAACGTGGTTGGGGTCGGGCCAAGGGAAGGTATGCTCCTTGCTCGTTCAGCCTTGTCCAAAAAATATATATTACAATAATGTGTAGTATAATATTATATTGTATTTAACCATTATTTTTTAGCGCTAGAAAAAATTATCTCCCCTGACCTTGACTAAGACGGTAAATTACTCAGAAGATAACTTGCCTCGGAAGTTAATTTACTCTTCTGATTTTTAATGTAAGATTTAATTAATTAATTTGAGTAGATTAGGGACGTTAGTTAAATTAGTTATATGATTTTTTTCCCTCTAAAATATTATAAGCATCTTTCTTAATTCTTTTCTTTCCACTCCTACTTGATTATTATTGAAAGAATATCAATATGGTTCATTTGGGAAAAAAATTCATAAACATGTGAAATTAGTTTTACATATAGGATCAACATTAACTATCCAATTAGGTTGTATATTAAGGGCCGGAGAAGTATTAATGTCTCAATAGAGTCAGGAAAATTGGGATTTTAGTGGTCGGGATGTTGTTGCTGGCTAAAAAAACGATAGATATTGTTGATGTTCTTTTCTTTCTTTTAAGCGAGACAATGTCAGCAATATAAATAGATGGCAAAAAAATATTATATTATTTCCAGTTTTAATCTAAGAGTTAATTGATTAATTTGAGTAGATTAACAAAATTAATTAAATTAATTATTTATAATAAATATTATCTTTTTTAAAATATCCCTGCTAATCAAGTATATGAGATAGAACTACCATTGTTACAAGAACTATCTTAAAAAAAAAAAGATAAATATAAAAGACAACGTGGATTGGTGTTTTACATTGAGAGACAAAATTAAAGTCAAATGAGCGGGAAGTAGTATTATAAATATGGAATATATTTTTCATGTATTATTAAACACTGTTTTCTATTTGGATAAGGCGTGCCCAGTCGGGCATAGAAACCTACTGAGCTTAACCTGAAAAGCTTAGGACTTTACGTTAAGGGCCCGCCAATGGATAAATTCTTTAGGCACCAAGCAAGGGTCCTATCCTGTCTAACACTACCCATGCACACTTCTGTTAAACCGCACAGTGCCCAAAGAGACCGGCGGATAGTGGGTTAAGAACCTAATCCAAATGGCTTATCACTGATACAACATTTAGCAAGCCAATTAATTGCCTTGCTAACAGAAAGAATTTTGGATACATATTGGGAAAAAATAAATTCCCGTGACGCGTACTCCTCCTAAGGGGTCTCAGTTTATTTTATCAGCATTGCATTTATTTTAGTTTTTATCAAAAGGGGTCTCAGTTTTCTTGTCATGTCATGCCCACTTGTATAGTAATCTTGGGTGGAGGATCCCCTTGCTCCTACTTATCAGAAACTATTCAAGTACCTGGTAGAGTATCTATTAGCATTTCTATTTTTGCTCCATTAATCAATGATAACACTTTTGACAAAAACTCGTCCTTTCCATAGAATTTTAATTGGTCAACTTCATAAATTTGTGTTTGAAAAATTCCTTCAATAAGAGTACTTTTTTTAAAAAAAAAAAATCAACGTCAGCTTTTTCATTTTATTTTCATTTCCACGATTATAAACAAAGTTTTTAACGTTAGTTTAAAAAGACTATTCACAGCGACATTGTCTGTGAACGATTCTACTCTTTAGCCAATATATCTACTTTATACATCAGTCTTTAAAGAACGGACGTAGAATGTTACTTTTTAAAAAAAAATCTTCATTTTTTCAGTCTCACCTTTCTTTGTCTGAAAAACCAAACATAGAGAAACAAAATCAGATCCCAAGTTTAAAACACATAATTAGATTACCATGTATCGAAACATTTTCGACGGAGAAGATGAAGATCAGCAAAGCAGATTTGAAGGAGAAACTCACGACGCAACAAGATATGGCAGAGAAGAACATCTGCAGGGACGAGAGCGTCAAACTGCATAATCTAAATTAAACAAGATCTGATGTGTGAATATCGAGACGATGATGATTAGAAGCCATGAACAAATAATGTCAAACCCTATATCCGATGTGCACTTTTGTCGCCTGAGGACAAATGGTGGTTCTTACAGTTTACACTGATCATACTTTTGTTCTCTGAACGAAATCCAACCCCGTTGCTAAAAAAGAAGAACAAGAATGTTCAATATCTAGGAAAACTGCCTAAATTGGAGCCACAAAGACATGACTTGTTTAAGTGAAACCAAACCATAGTTTGAAAAATAGTTTTTAAAAAAATAGATTTTAGAAAAATAGATTTTGTGAAAAAAATGATTTTGATAAAGTGAAAATATTTGAGTGGTTGTTATAATAATCATTTTTTATGTATAAATTATTAAAAAAGAGATAAGTTAATATTATAATTATAGAAAAATAGATTTTAATTTATATATTTGTTTGAAATAATAAATTGTATATAAAAAATATAATTAATTAATATTACCTCTCATCCTTCATATAAAAGCTAACTAGATATTCAATTTAATTCAAAATATAAGATTCCAATCTACTTTATCTTTCATATTTATCTATTTTTTATATCACAAACCATGGTTTTATGCCCCCAAAGGCAAAAAAATTTCATTTTATGAAAAACCATGAGTTTAGACCCCAAACCATGATTTTCAATTCAAAAGTGATTTTGTCAAAAATCATAATGTTTGGTTACATTTTTTCAAACCATGATTTTGCCTTCCAAACCATAGTTTTGCTTGTTACCTAACCCAAACAATACTTCATTGATTTACGTGTTTGAAGAAGGCCACTGTTGACTGCATCACTTGTTTTGCGTATCAAGGGTGTACAGTTATTCTCATTTTAATATGTCAAAAAAAAAAAAAAGTTTACCAAGAGAAAAATAATGTCAAAATGAAGAATATATATAATTACGTATACTCATAATATTTATTATATTATTTTTTATAAGTTTGAAATTTTTAATTCAAACATACAATTATAAATTGTTATTTAAAAAACTAATGTTTTAAGTTGGTTTATCCATGTAGTATTACGGTCCAATAGGATAAAAGACAACATGTTAGTGCTGTTATTATTGTTACTCATTATTTGTTGTTTTTTTTTATGCCAACCATTATTTATTAGTTGTTGATTATTGGTAATTTTTGTAAGGAGTAGAGAGTTACACTTGAAGAAAGAAGACCTAAGTGCTAGCTTAGTATCCATGTTGTTTTATTCGGTTAAAAGTTTGAATTAGACAATCATTTTTTATTAATTGAGCAATTGTAGCATTTTGAAGTTCTTTTGGAGTGATTGTAGGTATTTTTTCACCCAAGATTTGTTCATGGTGTTAGGCCAACATTTAGGAAAAATTTTATATATATATATTTGCACCAAACTATTTTTTATCACACTTTCTAAGCCATATCAGCGTCCACGTCCACATCATCATATTTGGTCAAAGAACTAGTCAATGTTACAATAGTTAACGTGTACATTTTTGTACCCAAGGTTTGTGTATGATGCCAAGTGCATATTTGGTAAAAATTAATAGGTATATTTACACCTTAACTCTCTTATATAACTTATAGAAATTACTTCATTTATTATCAGATCCTTTAGATAACTATATCTCAATCCAATATTTCCTAACTTTTCATTATAAACTTGGCTATAAACCCTTGAAAAAATAAACTGATTATTACAATGGATAGATATTATTTCTATTGGCTTGGGCCATATAGGTATTCCAAGTAACAAGTTTCTAAGCCACTATGCTTTCTTGCTAGTTGCAGCTAATGCTATGAACTCATAATCTGTGGTGGAATCTGCAATACATGTTTGTTTCTTAGATCCCCAAGAACAGCACCCTCACTTAAAGTATAGACCCACCTACTTGTGGGAGCATGATTCTCTAAGTAACTTATCCAACCGATATCTGTGTATCCTTGCAAAATTAAAAGATTATTACTATAGGTCAAACTATAGTTAATTGTTCCTTTCAATTATCTTAGTACTTTATCCAAAACATGCTAATGATGCTGACTTGCCAATGACTGTAACTTGGATTGCTTGCATATCTATTTAATCTTCCCATAGCATAACCTTTGTTTGGTACTAATTTCATACTAGAATCAAATAAAGTAGAAATAAGACTATAATTAAAAAAGTTAAACTTCTTTAATATTTTGTCAATATAATGAGATTGGGAAAGATTAAGACAATTGCTATCCTTAATAATCTTGATTTCTAGTAAGAAATCTACTTCTCCTATATCTTTCATGTCAAAATTTTTAGATAAGAATTTTTTTGTTTCATTTACTTCATTCAAATCAGTGCTAAAAATTAATATGTCATCTATATACAAGCAAATCATGATACCTTTCCTATTATGAAACTTACTGTAAACAC